AGCTGCCGACTCATCCCTGCCGTGGAAGCGTCGAAGGAAAAGTTTCCCCGTCAGCACAAAACGCCGACACTTGGCCGAAGCTTCCCCTTGGCTGCTGCTGGCCTGGCCAGGAGTTTCCCCCGTTGGGGACACGCCAGGGCCCGGCCTCGGGTGGCTGCAGTGGGCAGGGTGGCAGGGGACAGGCCTGGTCCTTGCAGTGTGGCACTGGTGTGGCACTGGTGTGGCACTGGTGTGGCCCAGTCCCTCCAATGTGGCACTGGTGTGGCACAGGTGTGGCCCAGTTCCTGCAGTGTGGCACAGGTGTGGCCCAGTTCCTGCAGTGTGGCACCGGTGTGGCCCGGTCCTTGTAGTGTGGCCCTGGTGTGGCCCAATTCCTGCACAGTGACACTGGTGTGGCACTGGTGTAGCCTGGTCCTTGCAGTGTGGCACTAGTGTGGCCCAGTCCCTGCAGTGTAGCACTGGTGTGGCCCGGTCCCTGCTCAGTGACACTGGTGTGGCCTGGTCCTTGCAGTGTGGCACTGGTGTGGCCCCAGGGGCTGCCACAGCCCCTGATGCTGCAGGGAAGGGAGGGTTTCCCGAGGCCAGGAGCTCTCCCATTGGCACTGGGCAATGGACGATCGATCCCATGATGATCAATCCCACAATGGATGATCGATCCCATGATGATCAATCCCACAATGGATGATCGATCCCATTTGCTCTGAAGCTGCAGAATTTGAGCAGAGGGCTGCTGGTGTCACAGCTGTGTGTCCCCAGCCTGCAGCCTCCTGGTCCGTATTTAGGTCCCCATGTAGGACTTGTTGCCATGATCCAGAAATCCCAGGGAGCTGCCCAGGAGCACCCCATGAAGGTCCCCATGTCCCTTGCCACCAGCCTGGGCCACAGTGGCCTGGTCACCCCCCTGCCCCAACAGGGAATCCCACAACCCCAATCCCTGATTCCAGGGGCCTGCTGTGCATCAGCTTCCCACGTTCAAATCTGAGACCCCTCCCAGAAGCTCACAAACGCAGGAGGACTCTGAACTCAGCTCTTACTCACAGAGAGCTCTCCCAGGATTTAAGGTGCTTAATTAGCGGTTTGAAAGAGTCACCAGCTGGGTGGGTGACACCCCAGCGGGTGTCATGCACTCCACAGGGCTCCAGCTTCCCTCCTGTCCCTACCCAGGCTTCCCTCGTGTGATTTTTCCCTTTTCCTAATGATCCAGCAGAGGGGCAGGGTTTATGAGTCCATAGAAACTCTATTATCCCCGTGCATTAAAGCCAAAAGCAACTAATTAAAACATCAAAGTCACAGGGTTCATTAGCTCAGCCTCGGCGCCGGTAGGAGGTGACAGGGATTGTGGCTGTCACCCCACTGCTCCCAGGGACCCCAAGGCTGGCCCTGCACCCCAAAACACATTCCCTGTCCCAGTGTCACTGGGAAAAACAGTGGCTTCCACTGGAAAAACACTGGGCTGGGCAGTGTCACCTGCCTGTCCCAGGATCCCTGTTCCCACCCAGCACAACACGAGGGGGACAGGGATGGGTTCAAATTCCCAGCCCTGCACACCAGATCCCTCCAGTGTGTGAGAACAGCCATTCCTTACTGGGAATGCTGCAGCACCCCTGGATCTGGGAGGTCTCAGCAGGCCACAGGACATGGGGGACACCAGGGAAGTGGCACCACTTGTGGCCACATCCCATCGAAGGGCCTGCATCCATCACCACGGTCACACTGAGAACTGGTCACTGGTCACTTCCACTGCCATGATCATACTGCCATGGTCACACCAAGCACTGGTCACTCTGGTCACTTCCACTGCCATGGTCACACCAACCACTGGTCACCTCCTATTGCCATGGTCACACAGAGCATGGGTCACTTCCCATCCAAGACCTGCATCCCATTGCCATGGTCACACTGACCATTGGTCACTTCCCATCCAAGGACCTGCATCCCATCCATTGCCACGGCCACACTGACCATTGGTCACTTCCCATCCAAGACCTGCATCCCATTGCTATGGTCACACTGACCATTGGTCACCTCCCAAAGGACCTTTATCCCGTTGCCATGTTCACACTGACCATCGGTCACCTCCCAAAGGACCCGCACCCATTTCCACGCTCACCCCGCGCCTCCCAGCCGGGCTCGCTGTCCCTGCCCAGCCTCTCCCGGTGCCCAGCGGGATCCCCGGGCTCTCCCCGCAGGTTTTCCGCCGGCTCCTCTCCCAGCAGGGCGCAGCCGTGCCCGGCGGGGAGGAGCCGTGGGCGAGGAGGAAGCCGGAGCTGCCAGCCCTTGGCCGGGCCCTGCACGGGGAGCAGCAGCAGCAGCAGCAAACGGGCGGAGGCTGCGAGTCCTCCCCACCACCGCAGGGACTTGGGTGCCCAAATCCCCGCAGGCTCCAACCCGCGCGTGTGGCCACTGCGGGAAAACTCCGCTCGTGGCCTAGCAGGGAGGAGAAACAGGAAAATGGGAGGAAAAAAAAGCCCAAACACATAACCCGAGAGAGGAGCGGGGAACGCGCGGAGAAGCCGCGGCCCCGGCGAGGGGCGAGCGGGGAAGGAGCGGGCTCGACTCCCAGGGCTTGGGGACGAGGGGAAACTCCAGGCTCAGCTCCACCCCGGCGCTTTCGACTGCTAAACAATAGTGGAGAGGAGCAGCCGTCCCTCCCTGCTCTTACTCATCCTGCCCAAGGACCTGTGCCACCCTTGGGCTGCCCCCGCCCTGCCCGGCCTGTGCCCGGGGGCTCGGGCACGGCGGCTCCGGAGGCTCCCGCAAGGCTCGGGTGACAGCGACAGATTCCCCCGGGAAAGAGATGCGGACCCACGGCACGCGAGCGGCGAGCCGGCAGCGCAGGGAATTCCCTCCGTCATCATCGCCAGCGGAAAAAAAAAAAAAAAAAAAAAAAAAAAAGAAGGAAAAAAAAATAAAAAAAGAAACCAACACCCAACAACAGCCTGCGCCCTCTCAAACCTCCTCTCTACCTGCAGCGCTCGCAGCACTTCCCAGCGCTTTTCCAGGCGGGAAGGAAGCGGGGAAGGAGCCGGGGCTCGGACGGGGAGCGGCAGCCGCGGCCCCGCCGGCGGCCAGGGCGGGACGGGGCCGGAGCCCGCGGGGAATGCGCGGTGCCAGGGCAGGAATCAGGAATGGGGAAGCGCTGCCGCCTCCTGCCCTGGGCGCTTCCCAGCTCCACCTGCCCCATCCCGGCACCGGCACCTTCCCCGTGCCACGGCCATCCCCGCACCCGAGGCCATCCAGCCCGGCCCCAGGGTGAAATTTGGCCTCCAAGCCCACCCAGCGCCCATCACTGAGGAAGGTCCTGCACCCCTCAGATGCGAGGGGCACCTGCAGCCCCCCAGAGCCGTGGGGAGGGTTCTGGGGGGGTCACCCGAGGGGGCAGCCGGGGAGGGAAGCCCAGGGCCGGGCAGGGATCCCCGGGGCGCGGCGGGGTGGGGCTGGCGGAGCGCGGGGGCGTCAGCCTCTCTCGCTCATGATTTAATAATTTAGGTGCGTTTCAGTGCTCAGAGAAGCGAAAGATTGAGGGCAGCGTCTGGAGGCAGGCGGGGCGCAGGCAGCGGTGCAGCCCCTGCCTTGCCCACGCAGCCCAAGGGGTTTGGGGTGGGGGGCTCAGCTCGGGGTCCCCCCGGCCCCAGGACGGCTCTGGGTGCCCTTGGCGAGCTCCGAGCACTCACCTCCACCCCAGCTCGCTGCCCTCTGCTCCTGCCCGTCCACCCACGTCCAGGGCTGCCGGTCCACGGCCACGGGCAGAAACTGGCTGCACTGGTTTGGGCTTCGCAATGCAAACCCCCACCCAAGCTCAGGTCTCCAGAGATAAGAGCACAATAACCTATTGTCCCTCCTCCCCTCCCAACATCTCCACTCGCCTCTGGCGAAGCAGGGAGGGACCACCCAGCTCCGCACAGCCCCCCCGCCCCCGCCGCCGGGCAGCCCACGGGGGGCACGGACCCACCGAGCCAGGCCGGGGATGCTGAGAGGCTCCGGAGCCGGGGCTGGGATGCAGGGAGAGCGCTGAGGGCAGAGGCAGGAGGAGGCGGACGAGGCCAGAGCCTGGCCGGGCTTCCAATAGATTTCCTGATTTATTTTTTAATTTATTTTCCGCCTCCCCACTCCTGTTTTCTCTGCCTTGGCTCTGCCCAGCTGGATTGGTGCAGGCAGGAGGGGGACGTGCCCAGCCGTGGCGTGGGCAACCCCCACGCACCTCCCCACCGCATCCCACCCTCCCCACCGCATCCCACCGCATCCCACCGCCCCCCACCCGAGTCACCCCACTCCTGGCAGGGTGGGGAAAGATTTTTTCCCCTTTTCCACCCCACAGGTGGGGAAAAAACACCCCAAACCCACCCACGCAGCACCTTCCCCGCTCTGTCCTTGGGCTGCCGCAAGCCCCCCTCCCCTTCCCCCGCCTCTTCCTTCCTCCATCATCCTCATCCTCCTCCTCCCCGCAATGCCACAACTCGCTGCCTCCCAAAAAATCCAGCAACACGCGCGATCGGGAACCCCCGCGCCCCCCACCAGCCGCCTCAAGGGCGGGCAACAAGTTGTAGGATCCGACCGGAGCGTCCTCCCCCGCCCCAAATACCGAGGGGCTGCCGGGCTTGCCCCCCACAAGATGTTTGGGGGCTGCACGCCCCGCAGCCGCCCACGCCCCAGAACGGCCGGACCGCGCTCACCCCATCACCCCACCACTCCCACACTGGGGTTGCGGTCGGGGGGGTCCCACACCGAGCCCCCCATGATGTAGGACCCCAAACCGAGTCCCCCCTATCCCACCTGCTGCACCGGGACGGAGCGGGGCGGTGAAATCCCCGCTGCCCGCGCCCCACCCGCCCGACACAGCGGGGACAGCGATGCTCCCACCCACCCGCGCCCACCGCTCCTACAAAGCCCCCCCTCCCTCCACGCCACTCCCAGTGTCCCCGCAGTGTCCCCAACACCTCCAAACCCCCCTGGGGACCCCCGTACCCCGCTGGAGGGGTCCCCCCGCAGCGCGCACTCACCGGCTCCGGTCCCACGGCGCCCGGCTGGCGGCGGAGCCCCCGCGACTGGCCATGGGATGGAGGGGGAGCGGTCCCGGAGCTAACGGGAGAAAACGCTTGTCATGGCAACCCCCGTGCCGTGCGGGGCCGTGCGGGGCCGGGCCGGCGAGGGTGGGGACGGCGGGCAGGGAGGGGGAGGGCTCGTCCCAGCCCGCCGGGGGAGGGGCTCCCTTAAGGTGGCTGCACGCCCCGACGGCTGCTTAAGGGGGACGGGGAGAGGAACGGGGTGAAGGGCACGGCCAGGGGGGACAGCGGGGTGGGGGGACCCCAAAATGGGGCAGGAGCCCGTGGGCAGAGTGGGGGGTGCGCGGCTGGAAAGGGTGGGGACAGCCCTGGGTAATGGGGGGACACCCCCGGGCAATATGGGGAACCCCAGTCAAGTTTGGGACAGCCCCAGCGCTGGGGGTGGGGGGCACCCAAGCAGGATGGGGACACCCCCAGGCAATGTGGGGACACCCCTGGGAAGAGTGGGGACACCCCCAGGCAATATGGGGACCCCCAGGCAATATAGAGACACACTGGACAGGGCAATGGGTGCACCCCCAGAAAGAGTGAGGACACCCCTGGCCAATTTGGGGACCCCCCCACCAGCCCTGTACTTGCACCCCCAGGCAATCTGGGGGTCCCCCGGGAAGAGTGGGGGGGATGCACCCCCAGAAAGTTTGGGGACCCCCAGGATAAGAGAATATTTGCACCTCAAACAATGGGAGGCAAAGCAGGGGGTACAACCCTAAATAATGTGGGGACTCCACGGAGGACAATGTGGGGATCCCCACGGGCAATGTGGGGACCCCAAAAAGCGAGAGCACCCTCATGTCCAACCCCCTACCCACTCTGGGTGTGGGGGAGGCAGAAGGAACTTTGTGACCTGTGGCAAAATTGGGGTTCTTTGTGGGGTTTTAGTGGTTTTGGTGTTGACCCCCTGGTCTGAGCCACCCTGTCCTCTCATGGGCCGCCGTCACCCTGAGAGCCACCAGGGTCCTGCATGACCAACCCCCCTGTCCCAAATCCCACCCTCACCCCTTTTTTTAAAGGAACCCGGATAAAATCCCTCATGGAATCCTTCCCAAAGCAGGAAAAGCTCCGGCCTGGCTGCCCACACGCTGTGGCCTCGGGCCCAGCAGGGCTGGGGGGGGGGGGGGGGCACCTGCAATAATCCTCTCCCTAGGCCCAGTTTGGCCATTCCTCTTCCAGTTAAACCAGTGGAACGGCCACAGCCCCTAATTAGCCCATCATTAACCCGTCATTACGCTCCCAAGGGTTTTTTACCCCCTTGAGGGCCTGAACCTCCATAATTCCACACCCCAAGGCCCCCAGGCCCTGAGGTGCTGCATAGGCCTGAGCTGGGCCTGGATGTGGAGGCCAAGCCTGGCAATTAATTTCCATAACATTTTTCAGCAAAATCCCTCCCTCAGATGACCAGGATGGATTTTCCCACTCAGCTGAGCTGATCCAGGGGTTGTTTTGGAGCAAGGGGTGTTGTTTGGAGTCACTTGAGTGAAATCAGAGTTGCCCATGTTGGATTTAATTCCATCTCCGCATCCTTTGGAGCACAACCCGGCCCCAGGCTTTGCTTTGGGAAGAGAAAAATGCCCTGGGCTTGGAATTCCTCCTCAATTCCTCCTTGGGAGTTCACAGGGTTATTCTTACTGAAAATAAAATATTCCTACTGAAAATAAAATATTTCAGGGCTGGTGATTCTCATGACAAGGACAAACGAGTCTCAAAAACCAAACTCAGGCCTCTTCCATTGAACCGCTCCACATTTGGCTGACACAAAAAAATGGGAATAAACCCAGGGATTTTATTCCTCCACCAAAATCTGCCAGCCCTGACCAGACTGGTTCTCCATGAGCATGGAACAGCTTGGAAAAGAGGTGTTGGAGCAGCTGGCAGGCACCACTTCTAATGCAAAACTGCTATTGAGATATAATGGCCTTTTCCAACAGGTTCTGGGAGCTTGGAAGGAATCTCTGACCATCTGGATTCTGGCTCCTGGAAGGAAATCAGCCTTCCTGCCTCAGGGAAGCCGTGTGAGCAGGGCAGCTCGGCTATGCTGGGAATTTGAAGCCTCCTCAGGCTCCTGGGTTTGGGTTGAAATGGGGGAAAAAGCAGATTTTCCACCCGGGGCAGTGTCTGCAGGAGGGAGCAGCCAAAATTCGTGTGGGAAATGTGATTCTTGTGTGGTGATTCCTGAACAGAACCATGAACAGCCCCAGAGCTTCTTCCAGGCCATGTTTAAGGAGAAGCACATGGAGGAAAAAGGGAAAATCCTGGCAGGAGCAGGAGTGTCACCTCCAAGCCAGCACCGAGCTGTCCCCACACGCTGCAGATGGGAAAAAATTCCTTCACAGAATATTTTGGGACCCTCTGTGTGTGTCTCTGCTTCCCTCCTGCTCCACCCCCTTCAGCCACAGGCCACCTGCTCCTCCTGGTGGCTTGGCCACCCCCGGGGTGGTGACAGAGGTGTCCCCACACTGCACACGGAGCAGGGAGGAGAAGGACACAAGCCCTGGGCACGGGGGTGACACTGGGGACAGGCTGGATTTGGGGTGACAACAGGGACGGGCTGGTTTGGCTCTTGTCAGGAGCTCACCGGAAAGCTCTGAGGGAGATTCTGGATCCCACTGGGAGTCCCTGCAGGGCTGGGCTGAGCCTTTGTCCTCCTCATCCTCCTCAGATCACGGCTGGATTGGGATTTATTCCCTTTTTTCCATGGCTCCCACGGATGCAGGGGCCTAATCCCCTTTTCCAGCTGGGATCCAGCAAGGAGAGCTGGATCTCCTGGGTGCAGGAGGGATTCTTGGGTGGATTCCTGAAGAGATTCCTAGATGGATTCCTGAGTGGATTCATGGGTGGATTCCCAGATGGATTCCTGGGTGAATTCCTGAGCAGATTCCTGAGTGAATTCCTGGGTGGATTCCTGAATGGATTCCCAGATTGATTCCTGAGTGGATTCATGGGTGGATTCACAGACGGATTCTAGGGTGGATTCCTGGGTGAATTCCTGGGTGGATTCCTGGGTAATCTCCTGGATGGATTCCTGGGTGAATTTCTCTCATTCCTTGCACCCAGCACCTGTTCCAGGCTTCTCTGGATCCCCACCACATCCTAAAGGCCTCTCCCTTCCCATTTTGTAGAAAAACCACCCAAACTCCCCCAGAGACCAGCAGCACCCAAGTTCTCCATCAAGGCCCTAAATCCCCATGGGAATCTTGGCTGTTATCCCGATTTTTGCCACCTCTTTTCTTCTCACAGCACTTCTCTGGCTGCTCTGGATGAGACGCAGAGCAGTGGGCAGTGCCAGGCCTTGAGGAGACCCAGCAGCACCAAGGTATAAATAAAATAAACAAATAACCCCAAAACAGAAAACTTCTCCCCCAGGCTCTTCCCTAAAAAAAAAAGAATGAAAAAAGAAAAAAAAATCTGTCTTCCCTGATGATTTCCCTTTAAACCCAGCCTCTAATATTTGGATTAATTTGCTTTTAATGCCTCCCCAGCTGGGAACTTGTAGGTGGAGTTTTTTAGCCCGAAAAATGAATTAAATCAGCCGAGTTGTATCAGCCAAGTTACAAACCCATCAAAACCCGGGGCCAGATCCTGATCTCATTCCCAGAGGGGGCGGACAGGGTAAATCCAGCTGGAATACACGGGGAAGGATTTTTGGGGGGAGGATTTTTGGGAAGAATTTTTGGGAAGGATTTTGGGGAAGGATTTTAGGGAAGGATTTTAGGAAGGATTTTTGGGAAAGATTTTGGGAAGGATTTTGGGAAGGATTTTGGGAAAGATTTTGGGAAGAATTTGGGGAAGGATTTTTGGGAAGGATTTTGGGGAAAGATTTTGGGGAAAGATTTGGGGAAGGATTTTAGGAAGGAGTTTTGGGAAAGATTTTGGGAAGGATTTTTGGGAAGGATTTTTGGGAAGAATTTGGGGAAGGATTTTGGGGAAGGATTTTAGGAAGGATTTTTGGGAAAGATTTTGGGGAAGGATTTTGGGGAAGGATTTTGGGGAAGAATTTGGGGAAGAATTTGGGGAAGAATTTGGGGAAGGATTTTTGGGAAAGATTTTGGGGAAGGATTTTGGGGAAGGATTTTGGGGAAGAATTTGGGGAAGAATTTGGGGAAGGATTTTTGGGAAGGATTTTGGGGAAAGATTTTGGGGAAAGATTATGGGAAAGATTTTGGGAAAGATTTTGGGAAGGATTTTGGGAAAGGATTTTTGGGGAAGGATTTTGGGAAGGATTTTGGGAAAGGATTTTTGGGGAAGGATTTTTGGGAAGGATTTTAGGGAAAGATTTTGGGGAGGATTTTGGGAAGGATTTTGGGAAAGATTTTGGGGAGGATTTTGGGAAAGATTTTTGGGAAGGATTTTGGGAAGGATTTTGTCACCGAGCTCCGGATTGGACCCCCCCGGGTTTCTCATGGAAACACTGAGTGACTTTGGAGCACAAGGCAGAGTCAGGCGTCTGTGAAATCTCTCTCCATTCAAGGGCTAAATATAGGGAGAGGAGCGGCAGCGCTGTCACTGCTCGGGGATAAATAAACCCTGGAGAGGCTCTGCCGGGAATGCCGCGGGGTCCTGGGGGCACTGCAGGGACCACGGAGCTGGAGATGCTCCCACAGCTGCTGCAAAGGGGATTTAAAGGACTTTTCCTGCTTTTTCTCCCTCTTTTCCTGCTTTTTCTCCCTCTTTTCCCTCTCCCTGCTCCTCCCTGAGCTGCAGCACCCAGAGGTGCCTGTTCAAGGCTTGGATTCTTGCCTGGAGTTTGGGATGCCAATGGAAAAGGTCCCATCCCATCCCTGCTGGAAAGGGGATTGAAGGGATTTTTCCTGCTTTTTCGCCCTCTTTTCCTGCTTTTTCTCCCTCTTTTCCTGCTTTTTCTCCCTCTTTTCCCTCTCCCTGCTCCTCCCTGAGCTGCAGCACCCGGAGGTGTCTGTTCAAGGCTTGGGTTCTTGCCTGGAGTTTGGGATGCCAATGGAAAAGTCCCATCCCCGTCCCATGGCATCCACAGCAATTCCCTGCTCTGCTCTGGCTTTTTCCTCACCCCAAGGCCTTTGGAGACCTCCCCCCCAAAAAAAAAAATTCCCGCAGCCACGGAACTGCTAATTACCCATCA